CCACGCAAATTTGCAAATAACTCGAAAAATATTCTATATAGAGACCTTTTATATATATACTAGCGGATGTACCCGGCTTCGCCCAGGTTTTTCTCGAGGGAATGTTTGTAGTCTAGTAATAAGAAAATATACTACACCTAAAAACTATCAGAGAAAAGAGAAACCACGGAAGGTGAACAGAAAAATGCTTACAATGGATGTTATGTTTACGATATCAAGTTAAATAAAAACAAAGATAAAATTTGCATATGTTGGTCACTATAAATTTGTATATTTGTTAGGCGAAATTAGAAACATGATAAAACAATTGGGTATTTAAAAACAAATGTAGAAATAAAAGTTGAAGTATAATAAACAATGTTAAAGATTAGTTTTAATTATTAATCAAGATTGTGTGTGAATATGTGAGAAAGATGTAATATCGTTGTTGTTTTCTTGGCCGACTGTTTTACATATGGTGTTATCTTAAAATTGCTTGTTTTGAATATTTTTTAGATTGAGATTATTAGCTAGTATGTAAAAGAATTAACTCTGTTGAAATTTAATTTTGTATTTATATATAAATAAAAATAACTCTGTTGATTTTTTTTTTTGTATTTAATCGATAACAGCGAAGTTACGCATGTTAATGTTAGGAAATATATTCTGATGTTAAGCAAAACCTGCTCCATCTCGTTTTACATAAATGTTGAAAATTTGGTTTAAATTGATGCATTGTAACGAAAGTTTTTAGTGATGTCCACTTATGAAATTTCCATTTTATTAATATATATATATATATATATATATATATATATATATATATTCACTATAAGTTTTTCAATAGTTAACTCTATATACTGTTTAAATTTCAGTCAGATTAGTTGCGTATTGTGGACGTGTATAGCCGACATAGGAACAAACACACATACATACATACACTGACTTTTATATATATAGGGATACATAGATATTAGATGGCAGGAAACAAAGTATATTTATTGTTAGAGAAAGTCTGGTGTGCTATTAGCACAGTCTAATGGTAGTTATGGAGGTTAGTTCTAGAGTTCCCTCGTAACTATAAAAAAGCATTAGTTTTAGTATTTTAATTAACAAATATTCAAATATTGTAATGAATAACAATAAAAAGAGTGAGTATTGATGATTGTTTGTTATGTACCTTTTAAAATAAAATATGTGCATTTTTCTTAATCTGAAACAACAATATGACAGCACTGGTATTTTGGTTAAAATAATAATTTGTAAAATGTTTTAACGCGCATAAAATTAATATTTTAAGATGACTCAGTTTTATAGCCCAGTACTTACTCTACTCGAATATGGTAGCACAGAGAGTTTAAACGTTCATTTTACATGCACGAGATTGCTTTTCCAAGGTATCTACAAGAATAAGATCTCCTGCTAATTAAATCGCCGTCATTCATGGAGTTTGTGAGAAATTTAGAACGGAATTAACCAGGGCCATTCAAACAATGCGTGTCGTGTTCCTGGGCTAAATTACAATAAGAATGGAATACCGAAGTGATGTTGCTACTGTATAATCTACAAGATGCTCTTCACACAATATTTCATACTTTAGCATCATAAAGAATCGGTATAGAAAGACTTTCCAACGTGTGAAAAATGTCCTCTTTGTCAATTCTAAGAGGATTTGTGTTATTACGTCATATATAACCTCCAAAAACTGACGGGCGCATTTAAATCTATACTGGGAATGCATATAACCAAAAAAGCATTGATAATTTATTGTTATCTTAAGATCGCGTGCAAGTGTGGTTCCCATACCTAATTACAATACCATCCCTTTAAAGAAATACTTTCTGCTTGAAAGAGAATAAAGGCAGACAACCATCGTGCCATAGTCCAATTTGAAATGGATGTAGGCATTCTTGGATTAAGAAGAGCAAATTCTATAATGATATTTACTGCACGGACCTCTACTCGAGCTTTCAATCTAGATTAGACGTCAATTTATTATAGGCGATTCCTCACCCTTTGTAAATCTTCTTAATTGATTTGAACTAGTTAGAATACGGACCTCGTAAATCCGCCGGAATCCATTCGAAATGCGAAATAAATAACACCTATTTGTCTTGTCTATTTATTTTTATGCAAGTCCTAGTCGGGTCGAAATAAGGAATGTACCTGCGGCCCCATTAATCTGACAACTCGAATGGGTTCCGGACATTTGTCACTAGCGCCGACCACCGCGCCATATATTGAATCAATTTAGGAGATATCCAAACAAGGCCATGCACATCATATTTACCTTCAGACAGATAAATGGTGAAACAGGATTCCGTTAAATGCCAGGAAATGGGTGAGAAATACACTGGGGTCAAATTAGTTTTTATAATATCACTGACGACCATTTTGGTAGCCCACAGTATAACATAATTTATTTTGAATTTCGCTATTTTAAATTTGAATATAAATTCTTTATATACCGCCATTAATTATGAATGTAAAATTCTAAAATTGGGAGAAAGAAAAATAAAACAACATGGGCGAACAAAATAAAGGTTTTGCTAACGTTACCAACTGCACAGATATTTTATATTCATCATGGTAGTATTACGAGAAGTTCAATGCATTCAAATTTATATATAAAATATTTTGCAAGGTACATTTCCCCGTATAACCATATCTTCCTGCCCCTTATATATTTTACTAGCCGAATGACCCGGGCAACGCCCGGGTTTTACCCGATTAAATGTTTTTATTCAAATACTATTCGTTACAATTATAAATTGGAGCCGTGGATGTCACTCTTGTGAAACTTCCCGCTCCCAACTTTACATGTACATTAGGTTAGCTGGTATTACCCCCCATTTTCACCGCTAGAGGCGCGAGCGAAAGAGCAAATTTCCAAAAAACACGACGGATATTCGGGATAGAGACCTGAAATTTTCACTAAGTTTTTCCAGATTCTACTTTATAAACTGTTAAAATTTCAGTCAGATTAGTTACGTATTGTGGACGTGTATAGTTGACAAACATACATACATACATATGCTGACTTTTATATATACAGTGCGGCAAATAATTTTTAAGACTCGCGCTAGATAAAGGCCAATAGCAGAGCCAGTTATGAAATTGCGCATGCGTATATATATTCGAAGCCTTATCTAGCGCGTGGCTTTGTTTCAGCCATTTTGGTTAACTCTTTAAAAACTTACAGGCGATTTTTGAAAAGTAAAAATATTTGTTCGTCGGAATTCTGAGATGGAACAGAGAGCGGTCATTAAATTTAATGCAAAACTTGGTAGAAGTGCATCGGAAACATATATTTTGATGAAGCAAGTTTATGGTACGTTATGTTTGAGTAAATCAAATGTTTTTATTTGGCACAAACGTTTTTCGGATGGAAGAAATACGCTAGAAGATGATAAGCATACTGGACGACCAAGTTCTTCAAAGACACCAGAAAGTATAGAAAAAGTGCGAGAATTTGTTGAAAACAATGATGGCAGAGGTTTTACACATCAACAAAGAAACGATTCGAACCATTCTGCATGAAGATTTAGGTAAAACTAAAGTCTGTACTAAATTTGTTCCACACACTTTAACGGGCGAGCAGAAATCAGTGTGAATTGCACATTGCAGGGACATCATTTCTGCCTATGAAAATAATTCAAACTTCCTGAAATCAATTGTTACGGGTGATGAAACATGGTGTTTTCAGTATGACCAAAAGACAAAGCGCCAAAGTGCCGAATAGAAGTCAAAAAACTCTTCACAAGCCAAAAAAAAACGCGAAAAGTGCCATCAAAAATCAAAACAATGCTGATTACCTTTTTCGATAGTAGAGGTATTATCCACAAAGAATTTGTTCCCGCTGGACAAACCATTACTGGAGAGTATTATTTAAACGTTTTGAAACGTTTGATTGCTAGAAATCGTCGCATTCGTGCAGAATATCGCGATGAAGACAGTTGGTGTTTGCTGCATGATAATGCACCGAGTCACTCATCACTCACTGTTCGTCGCTTTTTGGCCAAAAATAACGTCTGTGTGTTGAATCATCCTCCGTACTCGCCTGATTTAGCACAATGTGACTTTTATTTATTCCCAAAAATAAAATTGAAGTTAAAAGGTTGCTTTTTTATGATATCCCGACCATCCAGACAGCTGCGACGAGCACTTTGGAGGCAATTCCTCAAAGTGGCCTGCAAGAGGCATTTAATTCCTTATTAAATCGTTGTAACATATGTATTGAATCCGGAGGGGATTATTTTGAATAAAAAAATAGTAGAAATTGAATTAGCTTGTTTCTTTTTTATTTTACAAACCCATTCTTAAAAATTATTTGCCACACTGTATATATAGGGATAATAATATAAATGAGTTTTCAAAATTGTAAAAAAAAAAAAAAAAATGCATCGGCCGGGAATCGAACCCGGGCCGCCCGCGTGGCAGGCGAGCATTCTACCACTGAACAACCGATCCTTATAAGAAATGGCCATATTTGGGTATTTATTCCATTCACAAAAGCAAACGATGACAGAATTGATTGTTGATGACTCTGATACGTATATATTTTATTTATTAAATTAAATTTTATTGCCATCTATCGTTAAAATTTTACACAAATAAATCTAATGGCAATGAGTTTCTTTTAAATATCATCAAATATTATCTCTACAGACCTTACTGCAATGATATGAGTTATTGAATGAGAGGGCTTGGCTCATCAGTAGTGAGCGATTTATTCGCCAGTAATTTGGCGAAACCGCTGAGAGGGTTCACTACTGATGAGTCAAGCCCTCTCATTCAATAACTCATATCATTGCAGTAAGGTCTGTAGAGATAATATTTGATGATATTTAAAAGAAACTCATTGCCAGTAGATTTATTTGTGTACAATTTTAATATTTTAATTATGTTAGCATAATGAATTAGTCAGTATTCCCATGGTCTCCAGCGAAGAGGTGTCAATTGACTTTTTGAAAATATACATAATTATAAAGATAGAAGCTTCTATAGAAATAACAAAAAAAGCTGAAATAGCTCAGTTGGGAGGGCGTTAGACTGAAGATTCTAAAGGTCCCTGGTTCGATCCCGGGTTTCAGATTATTTTTTTATTCTTTAAATTTTTACTTACCGTAACTTGACACGTGACTAAACGTGACAGAATTGTGCATGACTCTGATAACTGTATATATTAATTACTAGCCGAATGACCCGGGCAACGCCCGTGTTTTACCCGACTGTATATGTTACAACGGTGATCCTTAGGTCGCTGGTTCAAATCCGGCTCGAGGGAGCCGGCGAGCACGTGACCTCCCTGTGCGCGCGCATCTGTGACAGAGGCCGATGAGGAAAGACAGTCGTGACTATATATATATAATATAATATAATATATGTATGAGTACATTTTGTGTAGAAATAAGATTAGTTGACTTTATAAGGTAAACTTATTCATACAGTTTGTATCCCTCGATAGCTCAGCTGGCAGAGCGGAGGACTGTAGATGTTACAACGGTGATCCTTAGGTCGCTGGTTCAAATCCGGCTCGAGAGAGTTTATTTATTTTTTTTTTTTTTTGGCTGCCGGCGAACACGTGACCTCCCTGTGCGCGCGCATCCGTGACAGAGGCCGATGAGGAAAGACGGTCGTGACTATATATAGGGATGTTAGCATAATGAATTAGTCAGTATTCCCATGGTCTCCAGCGAAGAGGTGTGAATTGACTTTTTGAAAATATACATGATTATAAAGATAGAAGCTTTTATAGAAATAACTAAAATAAGCCGAAATAGCTCAGTTGGGAGAGCGTTAGACTGAAGATCTAAAGGTCCCCGGTTCGATCCCGGGTTTCGGCATCTATTTTTGAATTTTTACTCACCGTAACTTGACACGTGACTAACGTGACAGAATTGTGCATGACTCTGATAACTGTATATATTAATATTCCTAATTTTTCGTAAAATTCTGGCAATCCCCATTAACTAATTTTAATATCATGTTTAATTGTAATTGAATTTATTCATAACATATTTTGAATATAAACACTGAGTTCAGAAACACATCTCGCACAGATTAATAATTTTTATTTATAAAATGACAAATGTTTAGTGCTTGAAATCGTCTGTTTATATATACAGGTGGGGCAGAAGATACGTTTTAATCCTTTCCAATAAAAAAGGCGATCTTAATCTTTATCCTTTATGTATATCTGTTAATATAGTCTCTATTCTTTCAATGTGTTAATAACTTTGCCACATATTTCGAGAACACCGTGAGAAATATTTTTTCTATTACGTTTTTCTCGCTTTCCTCTCTCCCGTTTGCCAAAAATATACTTCTGGCTATTAAAATTTCTAGAACAAGAATGCGAAACGCTACAAACGTGACATCTACACGATAGAAAGAAGATGCTGTGATATGAAAATGATTATATTCTCAAAGAATTTGTGCAAAATAAGTGCCTTTAGTGACACCTACAACGTGTTGAAATGAGAGACTGTACAGAGGTTTCTTTCATAGAAATTGCTTATGAAAGGTTGTTCCGTTGCAAAAGGTTGTCGTGATACCTCTTGTAAGATGAAGAAATACTTACCAACATGTGGTGTGTGTGTGTGTTCCAGAGTTTGATAGAGATAGAGTTGTAGTCTACGGGATTGCAGTTTATCATACCGCAGTATTGCTGCTCGCGTCGGTAGGGATCTCATGACTTAACTGAATATGGAATCGATGGATTCAGAGCGGTCATAAGAAGCGGCGTACTAGATCTCAGCAGCCCTAAATTACTAACAGACGAGAAGGCTCTTAATGGGTCGTAAAGTCACCTCAAGAGCTATGAGTCGAGAAATGGGTTAATTTACAAGTCTAAAAGTGTCTACACGAAGAGTTTTCTGGGGTTTGCAGAAACATAGGCTATCAGCTCGCCGACCATGACTTCGGCTACACTTGACACTACATAACAGTGAAAGGAGCTTCTTCATGGTGTGATCAACGACGAACCTGGACGCAGGGATGGCGTGGCGCCGTGTTCTCAGACGAATCAAGGTTCTCTTTGCAGCATCATGATGGCAGCAACGGTACCTGGCGCCAGCGTGAAGCAGGCCCATTTCCAGCATGCATTCGACATCGTTATACTAGCTCATCACCTAGAGTAATGGTTTAGGGTGTCATTGGATACACGTCTCGGTCACCTCTTGTTGACACTTTAGGCAATTTGAACAGTTCTCGGTACTTTTCGGATGGATTAAGGCCCGCGGCACACAGTACCCTTTATTATATTCCTGGTAAACGCTACGTTTCAGCAGTATAATGCACTGCCGCATGTTGCCGGTTTTGCACTGACCTTCCCACATGCAGAAAATGCATGGCTACTTACCTGGCCAACACATTTTCCTGATCTGTCACAAATAGCAAGCGTCTGGTCAATGGTTGCCGAGAGACTTGCTCGTCACCACCAGCCAATCACTACTGTCGATTAAATGTGGCATCGTATTGAAGCTGCATGGGAAGCTATGCCTGTACATGCCATCCAATACCTGCTTAACTCAATTCCCAGGCATAAAATTTCTGTTATTGATGCCAGAGGTGGATCTTCTGGGTATTGATATCTCAGGATCCATATTTCCAAGTATATATTTATATATATTCCCAAATATCTTGAAATTACGATCTAAGTAAACTGTATTTGTCCTAAAAATATCATTTTGTTATTTGCATTTCTTCCTGACGAAGTATTTTTAATTTTTAGTGGTGTTTTTTCGTATAATCTATGACTTAATTATTTTAATTAAAACGGATCCCAAAGAAGTGTTGCTTTAGTTTAGGAAGCAGGTGAAAGTCTTGGCGAACTAAATTAGGAGGGTGTGTGTGTAACAATTTAAAACATATTTATTGACTCTTTAGTCAATATTTACAAGAGAAGTAGAGAGAGAAGAGATCGGTAAAAAAAAATAAAAGAGCAATTATTCACAAAGTTATCCAGGGAGTCTTCCCCACTCCCGCTATTATATCCAGTTGCTCCAGTCATTCGTAGGGATTGTGCGCCAGATGGAAATTGGTGAAAGCCATCTCCTCACCGTGAACATCGATGACAGCCAAGGGGCTACGACGGCTGGACTCGGTTCCTCCTCAGATTGAGTAAGAAGCGCTGGTTCAGCAGGTTGAGGCGTCGTGCATCGAGGGGCTGAGGTATAGGCCGCGGGAACATTACTTGGCACCTTCACAGGTGAAGTAATTGGTGCTGGCGCAGCAGGCTTAGATGCTGGTTGACTGTGCTGCTGAGGTGCGGCGGGTGACTTGACATCGGCGGGGGAGGAGGATGATGTTTGCCTGGGGCCGATGGTCAGCTTGGAAAGCATGGGAAAGTTGGCCCTGCGGTGACCCTGAACGCCGGCAAGGTATCGCCTTCCGTCTTGATGTCCAGGCGGACGGGCAGTCTCTCCATTTATACTCCGTCGTAAAGAAGGATGTTGAGTCCAAATACATGCATTCCCCCGCCTTGAGTTACATGGGGGCGATGTACGTGACACGCCCATAAGGCCGCAGGGCATCGATGATAACGGCGTATTCCACGTAGAAAGGGAGATTCTCAATAATGATTTTCTCCGATCTCTTGCGGAAGGGGAAGGTTTTGAGGGTCGTGCCCTCGATCTCGAGACCTCCATCGATGAGGCGCTCTGCAAGGCCTTAGTAGTCAGGCCTCCCAGGACGTGACCGTTCATCTTGGTGAGCTGGATAATGTGCTTGGCCCCTCCTACCATTTTATCCACCGTCTAAAGGTATTTGTACGGCGTGAAGTCTGGACAGTGCTCAATATACACGCACTCTTCCTGGGTGGAGGACGCCTGCCGCACCCTGGTGTCCGCGATGTGTGCTCGCGTGACCTTGACCTCCTGCAATTCCGGTGTCCACTTCGCGGGTGTTCGCCTCCGCAGAGTTGCGCCGGTGATACCTCTGATTCGTGCGTTGTTGGACTGCGCCGTTGTGTTGTTTGTTGTCCCCGAGTCACGGCGCTTCTTCTTATTCTTCACCACGGTGTAGCCATCCTCGTTTTCTTCCTCCTCCTCCATTATGTTCGCCCAGATATTTAGTGCTTTTTCACCGTCGTTTGAAGGCAACTTTGTCGCGATGCTGTCCGACGCGGAAAAATTTGCATCTCCTTCCCCAGCAGGTGAATTCGCATGATAAACAGTTTCTTGAATTTTACTAGAAAATTCATTCTATGAAGCGATTTTCATAGATATTTCTGCATTGTCTTGGAGTTCGGAGCTGGGCCTTTCAGGTTCACATGCAGCTCGTTTCGGTCTTTCAGCCGGCACAAAATTGGGCACACAATTATGCATTTTTAAACATTCTAAAGGCGAAAAATAGCGGAGCTAAAATAAAGCGTGGCCGCTCGCTCTGGTGTGTGCGTGTGTGTGAAGGGGAAGTTCGAAGCCGAAAGATGATGGCGGACATTGCAATTATAGACCTGTAAGCAGATGCATTATCTTGAACACACTTTTTAAAATTTTCAACAAATGTTGGCATTAGAGACTCAATTGACTCACTCAAACGCTGCATTTGAGCAACCTAATAAGCATAATTTATGGTTTAATTATTTCAGAAGTACTCAGTATTGATTCCAAATGAAAACCATCTTCTTGTCCATACGGACTTGAATAGAACTTGAAGGTAGAAGAGGAGGGGTATTTCCACTCTTCTCATTGCACATTGGACTGTGCCCAAGAGTGATGTAACCATTCTTTGTTCATGGTCACAAAACGTTTGATAAATGACTCTGGATCTGCTTCATGAAGGGGAAAGTTTGAGGCAGACATTATATGTCTCTACATACATTATTTTCCCTCAATTTAGTGCAATATGACACATGTTTGCTGATCTGTCATTACAATATCCTGGAATGATGCGATATTTTCCCATGGTACACTTATTTGAGTGCGAGCAGCACCTTGGAGACCGGCATTTCTCTTTTATATTTTTATACCCATTTCCCAACAGTGTAATATGATGGGACACACATCACTCCTTAAAGCTTCTGTCATGTCCTCCTGAATGTTTGTTTCTTCTCTCAATGATTTTAGCAGATAGCACCCGTATGCTCATTTG